CTTATCTGTTAAGAGGAATGTTTCATTTAAAAGGTTTTCAAGCCTCTAAAACATAGGTGTAAATAGTACAGGTTTTATTGAAACGGGAACCTTAATTCAAAGTACAGTATACAAATCATCAAATAATTCTGTGAGAGGTCAAGTATATAGATACTAGAATATAATGTTAAATGTCAGGTTCCTCAGAAATGTTAGGGGACACATTTTGACATTGTGCACAGCAGGTGCAGACCTCCGTACAGGGAAGGCCAACAGAGAGGCACTGGCACTTTCCACTCTCTCCACACTTTGCATCTTTGCAATACAAGTGAGTGTAATGTCTCTCACTTCTGTAGGTGCTGGGGTTTTTGTAAATAGAACTGGTTGAATGGCCCCATCTCTGACAATCCACCCCTTGCCAATAGGACTCCATAACAAGGGTTTGGGTTCGGGCTGTGACACCATATCACCGTCTGAAACATTGCTCTTTACATGTTGTTGAAATGCATCCTCTGTTGGCGGCAGATTTTCCGAGGCTGCATCTGTTGTTGATGCAATTATGAACCTCAGTTCATCCAAGTTTGTGCACATCAGTCCAATTTCCTTTTTCTTTTTTCCATATAGCAGAAGCGCAAATTCTCTTGCGACTGGCAAAGACTCTTCCAAGCTGGCAGAGAGTCCAAAATGGGCCAGATCTTTGAGCTCGCTGAGATGAGAAGCGAAAGAACGAGCAAGACCCATTGCTGGTATGATAACAACCTGGTACTAAGCACACAGGCATCTTGTTAAAGTTATCTTATCTTAGCCATCTCTTATATTTAGTGGAGGAAAACAATTATGACATCAGTTATGATATCACTTACTCTGGGATTTGTAATCTTTCTAGTTGTGTATTTTTCACAGTCTTATATTTCAACAGTTGTACGACAAACTGTGACTTTTTTTACATGGAAATGATTTTTTAATATTGACAAACATCATATGTGTAATTCGTGGATCAATTCAAACGGGATCGAAAGATACGTTTTCTATCCCCATTGACTTCAATACATAATTTTTCCGAAATGGGTCTGAAGTAGATGGGCGGGACTTCGCCACTCTATAGTAAAAGTTGGGCCATTTTATCATCATGCGCCAATGAGCAACTCTCATAGGAATGAATGAGGCCCCGCCTCCCACGCTGTATCCAGTTCTTATTATACATCCATGGCGTACCCCCATGTGAGAATTACTGGTCTATATATACAGTCTATGGTTTAGACTGAGTAGCTTCAACAGGAATGACGCAGGAATGACGCAAAAAAAGAAGTACTTCTTTATAAAGAAGTGTTGATAGTTTATGTCACCTCAAAATGTAATAGGCAGGGTCTTTTAATGTTACTGTCACCTATTTATTTCTACAGTTTGAAAAAAAAAGTTAAATTTAGAAGAAGTCCTGAAGATGAAGATGAAGATGCAGAAATTGAAGACGTGATCCAGAAAATTAGTAAATAGTACAGAAGTTCAAACATCCCTGAGAGGATATCCGGAAAACACCTCGCTGATTCACCCCCTGATTCATTTTTTTCTCCTAACAGCTGAAAGCCAACAAAAATTGGTCCATCGTGAACTGAGTAGGAACCAATCAGGGCCAAGATGACTTAAATGTCAAGACCTCTCCTGGCTTTTTTGTCTTATTCCTGCCAATCATTCAGCTCGAGTGTTGGATCCAGAGAAAAATCTTTCCACTGATTTTTTCACAATTGATAAGAACTCAATTTAAAATTTGACAGCTGACATTTTAATCTCAACACGGTCAGTCCGCTGTTCTGTTCCTCATCATGAATGAAAACACCTTGTCTTAATACAGGCTATCAAGGTTGTGGTGAGACTAAAGGAAGAATGATTATATTTTAGCAGAACAGGTCACAGCTTTCATTCTTTTTTTTATAGATGTTGTTAGAGAATAATTCTGTCTTACTCCTAGGAGTCTAACCTTTTCTGTGTGTTGACGTTTATGACCAACCCTGAGTCTGTTATCTGTCTTAAGGAATGGGAGACTTCAGCTATTGTTGATATTACCAGTTTTATGACCGGGCAACTATCGGTCACAGAGGGTTTTATGACTGTGAGAACGCTGGCTTCTAAACACCACAGACAGGTGATTCAGTGTCTCCAGATGTTGGGGCTATCTCCAGTGCCCCAATATGTTGATTAACTCTCTGTTTACTAGTTAAAAGGTCTATCGAGAGAGAGACTGGGCAGAATTGATGTGGCAACCCACCCGTGCAGTCAGAACTTCTGGCTGCTGTGACTTGTGATGTGAAATTCTACGGCCGATACATGTAATAAAACACCAGTGTTTGACATCAAAGCTCCAACTCTCCTCGTGTCTCCCTGAGTCCTGACTCTCCATTGCTGCAGAAGTTTCCTTTACAGATGTGACATGAAAATTTGGAGATATAAGTGTCAAAATATGTTACTGCATCAGAATTTGTAAGCAAGCTCAAAACCTGTTGAGAGCCACAGTACCTGTGTGCGGTATAGATCAGTTTGAAAAAAGTGCAGGGATTCTGAGGTAATTATTCAGCCAAAAATAATAATTCTGCCCAGAATTTGTTTTAATAATGGTCATCAGGAAGTTAACCTAGGCCTAAAGCAGTGCAATTCCAGTGAAATGGTCTATTGATTTCTCATTACTTTTTTCTTTGGGTGCAGGAATGTTACTCACAGACAATGATTATAATAGAGATTATGCCAAACTAAATGGTATTGAACACTCTGGCTGTTGTGCAGCTCAATATGAGCCTACTTTAAAGCTTCAGTGGCTCACAGGATTATTCTTTTAGCTGTGATTCCCAACCTTTTAAATTGTAATGACTTAATGTAAAGCAATGTAGATGTAATGTTTCTAAAAGCCTATAAAACCATACACTGTTTATAACAAGTGAGAAATATATTTCATAAAAAGTACGTTTTAACCCTACTTTGTGACTTTGTTATTTATTTTACCTATCATTTTAGGTGGGTGATAAAAATGTAGTTGAGTGGTAAGCATTGTACCATAGTACATGGTGGAATGCCGGATAGTCGTTGATACAGGATGCCAACTTTTGTGAGAGGAAAAATATGCCCCAGTCCACTTTGGGGAGTAGCTGGAGCGACTCACACAGTTGGCAATTCTAGACTTTTTAGAGACTAATTATAGAAGTCCAAGAATAACACATTCAATTGGTTGCTTTACCCCACATGCCACTCAAATGTACTACAATACCTTTTTTACACATTCCAGCAGATCATTTTTTTCAGATACACGTCTTAGCAACAGATACTGTACAGTGTTCAGCAAAGGAGTTGTGTTTTCACATAGCATTATACAACAGCATCAAACTTTACACCCCCTGCAGGATGTAAAAATGCTGCCCACATACTGATATAACTGTACATAAATCATGACTGAGGGATGTGTTCCAATAAAACCTAACCTAAACTGTAATAAGGAGAGATGCCCAGTGATGCCTAGAACTCAGGGAGAAATGAACCAATCCCATACATAGCATGATGAGTCACTCTGTCACAAAGAATATTCTCAACAGTAGACAATGCAAGCACCCATACCCATTAAGGTGATTAAGAGCATTATATTATGAAGCAGTGAACTTTGATTTATGAGAGCACGATCTATTTGAGAGTTTACCAGTATGTCCTAACCTTACAGTAACTACAACCTCTGGAAATGTGACTCACAGCCTACTGTGAAGCAGAAAACAACTCAAGGAGTAGTTCAAGGAAATAGAATATTAAAATTATACAAAAAACTAAATATAAGAGATGAAAAGGTAAAGCAGCCCTTTCAACAACAAAGAACATATCAGCATGACATTAGCCGGAGAGAGCTAAGTCATATTTTTGATATAATAATTGAGTGTTTATGTGGACTCTGGTGCAGGTCTAGAAAGCCTCTCTGACCAAAGTGAATCATCTGAATCACGAGTGCTCTGATGCTGCGAGCGAGGTAAAGCATGTTGATAGCTTGTAATAAACACGTCACACTCTCTAAAAGGTCTGATGGCTGCCAGAAAGCTTTGAAGTAAGATCTCACCTCCTAACCACCATTTCACATCTCCTGTTGTTTTGTTTTGTTCTTATTAGGGAGCCGGCAAACACTTCAGGCGCATCACCCACAACAACTCTGCCGTAATAAACACAATACATCAAAAACCTCTGTGTACGTGCATGCCATGTATACATTCATTTATCTTTGTCATAGGTTTGGGATGCCTTGTTAACCAGAAAGACTGCACACCTTCTAAGTTGCATCTGCAGAGTGAGCTTCTAGCTTGTCAAGCATGTGACCTATAAAGGCGGCAAACAAGGGGTTCTCTCTCACGTTCATACATACTTACATACACATAGATGCAAATATTGGACAGGCAGGTAGAGCACGAGGGCCAGTTTTAGAAAGCATCAAATATTCATGTGGGTCTGTGAAGTGCCTGCCAGGTTTCTTGGCCCCTCAGGTATGCTCCTGCCTGTACTCCTTTATCACTGTCTGACTGCATAGACCCTGGATTCTTCATGATTGGGCTGTATGGTGGTGCCAAGGGTTTGAAGCCCCCCCCTTGAACTGGCGATCTTTCAGCACAGCAATGTAATATTATATGACAGTTTGGCGTAATGCCTCCCACCAGCCATTGGCACGGCGAACCGGACCGACGAGTGCTTCTCTGCTTTGTGTATGTCACATTTACTATGGGTGCTTCATTCATTATTTATGAGATGTTTATTCAGGAGGTCTCTTGACCTTAAACCAGAGAAGAAGAAATTCAGTTCATCACAATTTATTGCATAACTAGACAGGAACTCATTCATTCCTGTGTCCTCCTGTGAGGTCCTGAGTGGTGTTCAATAGACTTCTAGTGTGTTCTGATTCTGATGCTCCAAAGATCAACGGGAGGAGTGAGAGAGAAAAAGAGAAAGAGAGAGAGAGACTCTAACTCGACACACACTCAGACTCTCTCCTCACTTTGCCGTCTCCCATCACTTTCCACCCTACACTGCTGCTGCTAACCCACTGCACCTCCGATCTTCTCCCGCATCAACTTCAAACTCTAACCCAGTTTAAGTAATTGATGGAGTGGAGGAAGGAGACTTTCACTCGGTAGAGGAGCAGCTGTCAGCCACAGAGTTGCAATAAAGACAACCGCCCCAGGGGATAGAAGCAGACGGAGAGCAGCAGGAGACAGGCGAAGGCGAGAAATAAAAGGAGAAGACTGCTTGAGGTGACCAAGTGGCGATGGAAGCGCTCGGCATGCGTGATTATCAGCATTAGGCAGTACCGCTTCTGAAGAGCGCTCGCTTTGTGAATGTGGATTTACAAAGTGACCAGAAACTGACCGCCCTTTTCTAGCTGTTTTGTTTTAACTTGACGGATTATCACCAGAACCATGAACGTGTCGCCACCAGACCGGAGGAAAAACGTGCGAGAGCTGGCTTTGGAGATTGGCATCCGGGTGCTGCTTTTCGGAGTTTTTGTGTAAGTAAAATCTTCGAACAGCTGATTTAACAAAAAAGCTAATGCCATTATGGACCCTGAGGGTGATATCCAGTTTCATGACTGATGTTATCCATGTGCATACATGCCTGAACTGCTGTATTTAGCGTGTATTTGTCGCGGTGTGTGGTGCTGCATGGTCACTGTAAGCGCAGTTAATGGTCACATCAGTGCTAACAGACTAGACAGATGCAGCGTTAGGTTGCAAAAAACAAGTTGTATACAGCATCATTTAACTTCAAGTCATGTTGTCACCATTCTTTGATTGCACTTATATTAAGTATCATTTCATAGTGGACATGTTGTGTGATTAGGGATGGTAAAAGAGACACAGTTTATTTCCCTCTAAGAAACAGACAGTGATCCAAAGGGAAGGCAGTGATGAATGTGCTCAATACTTTCTTTGCAGCATGACTCCAAACTAACCCTAAATATGAATTATGAAATGTTTGTCTAGCCTGGAGGCATTAATCTTTGTTTGCATCATGGTTGTGTCTCTGCTTTCCTATGATCTGATAAAAGCTCCAGGTCTTATCTGAAATGACTCACCTTGCTGCTGCTTTCATTCTATCTGTGGGGGGAAAACTCAAAATTGTTTGGCTGCATAGACTGCATAGCCAGTGTTCATTATGTTAACATATCCTGTGGCTAAGGTGTCCAGCTGTGCATGTGCTGTCACCCTACAATTATCATACAGCCTGATGATGCATGCTCACAGTGTGTGACATGCGGGAAACTCAACAGGAGGCATCAGACTAAAGCATGAAACATGTCAGGAGTGGATGAAATGGACTGTTGCAGTGAAGCCCTTTGTGTGAGTCTGCTGGATTCACATTAGTGGCTGATTTCTTATTGCATCAGTACTCAAGGCCATATAAAAAAGCAATTTCACACAATATCATCATCATCATCAACTAACTGCTGCATGCTGTCACAGAAGCCCCCGTCTATCACAAAGTCCTTGATCGCCGTAATGTTTTGAGTTTTACTCCCCAAATTCCCTCTACGATCACAGAAAGCAAGTTAAGAGCCAGTAAACCGTGCTTGTAATGGGACCCCCCATTAGTAAACTGCTCACATATGCCGACTTTTTCAGTCCCCATAATAATACTTGGGCTTTGGATATTTGTAGAGCTGTTCCTACCTTACTGTGTTGGAGGATCATTGTTTTATGTGTATGGCAAAATCAGGCTTGAGTAAAACATTGCTTTACTAACTTTTTTAAAGAGAACTGAACAAATACAGGCATAGAAATACATAAAATACAAAAAGATGTAACACACACACATTAACTTGCATAAAAGTTATGTTGTTTTGTCCAGCTTTGGCAGTGTGGTGATATTTGAGCATGGTGCTGTTGTGATTGCATAGGGAATCACAGAGCTGCTACAGCCTAATTCCATTCTTTTATTAATTATATTTTATCTGGATTAAAGTTGTAAAGAAAAGAAACACATTCATACACCTTTTGGCTTTATCCTTTAGATTAAGAGTCTTAATATTTCATAGGAAAATAACAATCATGGCAGGAAGCATTTCATCTGATTTGGTCTTTTCTTTGGGACTCACAGTAAGTGTTGCATTGCATTTCTTAGCAGATCTGAGAGAGCTGCTCTCTGGCTCTGTGGGGCAGCAGTGCCCTGTTCTTGTCACACCTCCAAGCCTGAGGCGAGAGAAGAATAATTGGGGTCACCTAAAATCTGTTGTTATCTTGAGTTAAGGTGTAAAGGACATTGTGTAAGCCTTTGTGTCTGCTGTTCAGAATAGATGTAATGTGCTGTAGTTTTATCTTAGAAAGAAATGGCATTCTTATCTGTGTATGTTCACCAATTTGCTTTAGCAATCATCCTTTCTTCTAAATGCGCTGCTCTTAATATATTTGCATTTGATTGCAATCTGCCTCTGCAGCTCACAATTACATTTTAATAAGAAGAAAGTCCCTTTTTTCAATTTGTTGTTTATACTCCTTCATAATTGTGACTATACCAAGGGATGCTGAAATTGAATTCATTAATCCTTTAGTTTGGGCTCATAGGCAGATATGAATGCATCCGAGAGGGGTCTTTAATCAGAGATCACACATTTGAGTTCTGTCATTGTTTTTGTCTTTGATTCTGATTAAATAATTCTCACTTTGACTGTTCACCCAAACAAACTGTTGTTTGTCTCAACCACACAATAAAACATGTCTCTGAGGACTGATTTAGTTTGGGAGGACATTTTAAATCAAAGTGCCCCATTCCCTTCGTTATTCCCTCAAATTTGACTTAACATTACTTTTAATTTGCCTTTTCTTGCCAAGCTGCCTGTCTGATCCATTCCTCAAGAGATGCATCGACCCTAAGTCACGGGCCAAGTTTGTGCCATAAGGTCAACCCTGGGCTATCAAACAGCTAATTCTATTCAGTCATCATAGCTTGGTGAGCACAGCAAAAAGTTCAATCTAAATGGAAATAGATCTTTGACATTTATAAAAATGGGAAAAAAACTAAAGCGGAGAGCTTCATCAGAAAACAATACTGTTATTTTTCTTCCGTGGCTAGCTACTCAACACAGAAAGGAAGGATAATGACATGGGCGCTATTTCACTTTACTTGTAATCTGGTGCGAAACAAGAAGAGTTTAGACGAATACCCAGGAAGTAATTTCTTCCTTGAGTGGTGGTGCAGCACAGCTTTTTTCCTCAACCGACACACAAGCTCAGAGTTGACGTTTCTACGTGTCTGTTCATAGTTACACACTTCAATAAGATTCAAATAAATATAAAATGACTGTCTCAAGAGAGAACAGGGGACAAAGCAAGGACGAAAGAGACACAGACGTGGAAGATAAGAAGGAGGCCATGGAGTTATAAGGATCTAGATTGTTTTGAGATTTTACAGATTAAATCCTAAGGCACAGTGGAATACAAATACTTTTTTTTTATCAATGCAATCTAAAAGTTATGCGATGGAGCCATTGGCTAGAGAAGAGGGCAGATGTTTTTTGGTCTGATGTACAAAACAAAAAAGAATAGATCTGTTTATGCCGGGGCTAATAATTTGGATTTAAACTGAATTGACTCTTTTATTGCAGAGTATTATTGTGACTGAGTCAGAGTCTTGATTGTTACTTTGAAAAATGACAGAATATCCAATACAAGACAAGCTTAATACCATTGACACAGTTTTGGAATTGTAGGGATCACAACGTAGTTATCGTCATCTGAGGTTAACAGCTTGCACTCTAAAATATCACCAGAGTTGGGCTCACTGCATATCATCCTCTCCACTTATAGGAGGGCTTAGAAGCAGTGCTGGGATTCAGCCCAGAGCCTTGGCAAGAGTCAGTAAGCTTTGTGAGATGTTGGGAAAGGGCAGAATGTCAGGCTCTCGAATGTTTAAGAATAAGCGGATTGTTTAGCTTGTTGAGAATGTAGGCTCTTGGGCTCTCGTTGTAAAGGATCGGTTACCGTGTCATCAGGACACATTGTCTCTGTAGTATGAACCAAAAAAGAGCATTTCTAATCTCTGAGAATGTTACGGCTATTTATGTTATGGTAATTGGATTAATCATAAAATCCTTAAGATTTAAGTCTCGGCTGATTTTCCAACACCCCTGGCTATCGTTAAAACAGCAAATGTTGTTTTATAATGCAATAAACATTCTGACTAATTTTCACAGAAAAACAACAGAGGAGCAACTGGTGTATGCGTTCACAGTCCAGTCAAATCATATATTTTTTAATGAATATGCCAAAAAGGATCTGATTGTGATTTCATGCTTCACATGTTACGAATAGTTTTCCACACAACAGGGCACGGTGGAGTTATTCATCTAACAGTTCTAATCCAGTTTAGACTGAAGAATCGTTGGCATTTAGACCCCTCATTGTAATGGGGGTTGTGATGCCATGAGTAGTACAGGCACAGTCCCCCTGATAGAGTCCTAGAACAATGGGCTTAAAAAACAGATCTTTGAATATCTTTTTAACATTTACAACTTTCGATCAGGCATTTGTGAATCCATTTTGTATTTGTCGACCAAATTCGCTTGTGGATCTCACATTTCTGCTTGTGGACCGTCTTTTTACACAAACAGAGTTTTGAGACAAACTTTCCGCCGGTCTCGGCTAAAATCTATTCGTGTCACTCGGTTATTTTCGGAAACCACGTGATAGCCGGCTGATGACGACATTTCCGCATGATTTCAAAGTAAGAGCATGATGGTTTGTTTAATGCTCTGTTTTTGTATTATAATGAACAGCGGAACATTAGATGCATTCTTTATCACCATCATCATCATCATCATCATGTTATAGTGATACAGTTAGTTTGTGTTAGTTTATTGGTTCAATACAGCATCAAGCACATTCGTATGCATTGATGTTGAAGTACAGGCTATACGCCACTTTCGGGTCCCGAGGGGAGCAGCTGGCAGCGAATCAGCCCAGAGATAACTCTTTCTTGTTAAAGAGATATTCAAAGATATTTTTTGTACTTGTAAAAATATTTTGCGTATTTGCAGATCCGTTTTACATTTGCAAATGTATTTGTGAGTTTGCAAATCTATTAAATGCATTTGTGGATGGTGTTTTACATTTAAAAATCACATATTACACACAAATAATTGTTATGTTCACACAAATAATTATGAGACATATCTAAGCCCATATAGAATGTATGGTGATGGTGGAGATGGTGAGGATTTGGATGGACAGGATGTGGAAACTGGGGTTGAATGGGGTTTAGGGAGTTCCATCGATTTTCCACTAAGAAGACAACTGATAGAGGCAGTGATGCAGTATGATTGGCTCAGGGAGATTGCGGAAAATAGCCTCTCTGATTGCATTTCAGCGAAAGGGTTTTACCTCTTTTCTCTCCATTCCATACCTGCGTTCAACCAAAGCCTGCTCAATCATACACGGACTACAAACCAGAATCTTTGCACTACCAAACTCTTGTCTACAGTTTCATTTGCATCTGTCTTAAGAGAGCTGAGTT